CCTCGTACTCTCCCGTTACGAAAAACATAGCAACGATAACTTCGCCAGACAAAAGGCTTAATGAACAGTAAAAAGGTGCTGTACTTGCATTATGCACCTTTGAACAAATCGTAGCCGTCCTTTGCATGTTCGTAGCATATTTAGCAGGGGAAATTTATACAGACAGACACAGATCTATATAACTGCCAAATCCTCAAGTCAAATATAAACGCATTTTCTAACAGGTGTCGTCCTAGTCATCGCCGTCCTATCTGGGTAAGGTCCCTCAAAAATCGGAGAGAGCTTCTGTGCGTTACTTTCTATTCTCTTTTGCGTCGCTCAGCCGCATAGAAAACATTTCTGTTATAAGTAAAGGAGAAAACTGATACAGCAAATAGCGGAGGGGCCGCCAGCAATCGAGTAAATTGCTAAGTGTACAAAAAATATGAGAAATATTGAACAAACTGATATGAAGACCTGATTGATGTATGATCTTTCATATATTCACTTGCATTGAGTAAACTGTCGTATTAGACAAAAATACCAAAACTGAACCTCGGCTTTGAGTATGTTTTTCTTCCCATTTGGACCTTTCATCGGCACAGCTGTTGTAAATTGTGTTTTAATAAGTATGACTGAGCTTGGTAAAGTCTTGCCTAATTGCTGTGCAAAACGCCAAAAGTGATGAAAGCAAAGAAAACATCGACTAATGCGAGAAACAAAATACTGAAGTTTCCCTTTTTACAAAAAAAAAACAAAAAAAACGCTAAACATAGAAAGTTTTCATCACAATTTTATTTTTTTTATTGTAACAGCTGCAATACTGTTTTTCTTTCCTTGTTTTCTACAACTCGCAAAGATTGGAATACACGAAACTGAACTTATGCAAGATTCAATCACTAGTGATAGACGTGTATCAACTGGAAACACTGGTTTTGCTAAGTTGAAGGCAAATTGGGGTTTTCTTGCGGAGCTAAAGGTAGATTTTGGTGGCGTGAAAAGCATGAGGCTGGGAAATCGTTTTGGCATTCAAGTAAAATAACAAGTCTTGAATAGAGACAAGTACTGCGAGGAATTATTATTGATTACTTTAATTGTGCAACGCACAATAATATTATGAATATCGATCAAAAATTGGAAATTTTTGCGTTTGATTGGTTACCATTAATTGATCAAGTCTTTTGTTTAATCCCGTAATTTGCGTCACTTTCTTACCACCAGAAAGCCGCATATCTCACTGAAACATCTAAAAGAAACTCCCTCAATATATCTCATTTGCGTGTTTTTCAAAGTTCGCTCTGCTTCATACGATAGCGCCTCATAAAACAATCATAGGATGACAGTACCGTAGTTTGGAGAATGAAGCATTTCTTATAGAGAGTTATTCTCTAAAACTTTTAAATTTTATCATTGACTTCCAAACTATCAAGTTTGTTTTCAATCTATGTTATCCTTCAGATAAAACGCACAGATAATAATATGAAACGGCCCACAGAACTTGGGAATTTTGGATACAACAGCCCTCTTCATTCATTGTTTTTCTCGCCTAAGAATCTATAGACAAATGTATGTTGAACTAAAAACGCAGCTGGACGCTTTTTAGTACAACTACATCCCTCAAATTACATTAATTAATGCAAGCTTTCCCCAGTTTCGTATCTGCGCTATTCATTAACTTGTTGAAAACCAATTCCCATAAAGACACTGCAATTTCTGACTCGTGTTGCCTACCCTTCAAAAATGGCTTCCAAAAAAAGACGATCAGTTCTATTCTAACTAAGCGTACGTGCGGCGACCATTAACCATTGTGTGCGATGAGAGAGTTTCACACATGTAATTTCCCAGTAATTTTATTCGTTTAGTCTGCAGTTATAAAGGTAAATCTATTTCCGTTGAATAAAATGCCCATTGAATTCAGATTAAAATTCATTCTGCTAAACTTTTGATTGGAAGCGAACGTGATTCGTATCAAAATGAACAGGCTTCTTTTTTACATTGGAGAAGACTACCATTCAAAATATTCATGAGGTATTTTCCAAAGTCGCAATTAAAAACGCGAACTTCGCGTCCTTCGCATCACGTTTTCTGGCGTACATGACAACCGCTGATGTCATTAAACATCTTCTAAGGGTGAGTTACAAGTAATAATCAAATTTCTATTTGTTCTACGTTCCTGTTAAACATATCGCATCTTAGAGTAAACAAGTGTGAGATATCTTCAATCAGTTTAACCGTATCTTAACGTTGCACCAATTCTTGACAATAAATATTCCTGCTGCAGGGAGAAAAAGCGCAATCATTCGTTTCCAAGGAAAGAAGTAGGCATCTCTACCTAATCAAAGGAATGAGGTTAGTGTAACCTAACCATAAGATCTTAACTGTTTTTAGAACTTCGCGATCACATTTTTTCGGCGTCTTACTTTAGTAACGAGCAGACACAATGTTTTCTTGTTTAAAAAAAAAAAAAGAAAACGTCATAACGTGAACATTGGGATACATTTGTATTCATGGCACGGAAAAACCTTGCAAAATTCGCGCATACGCACGGTTAACATGCAATCATTGAATTTCATCAGAAAACTTGTTTCTTTTCTGGTACTACCCAAATTTTATAGGCGTGTGTTTTCTATGGTGTATTCCCAACAAGCTTTTCTTCTTGTGCAATGTCTCGAAAAGCAGTATATTTTATAGTTTTTTGTGAAAGATTTAATTTTCTGTTACGAGGAGTATCTATGTTGTGAGTTTTCCAATGTGAAGAATTTTCTGAAACTAGGTTTTAAATAAATTGGGCAAATGCTTGCATAAACAAAATTTGGCCATACATGTAAAAGGTTGGAACAGGCCAAAATTAAAATCCTTTATCGGATCAGGCGTTACTCTTCAAACAGTAGGACAATTCCAAATCCCCACCCTATTACCTTCTCTTGCAAACACAGTGTGTTTTCTTAACATTTAGATATCGCTTGTAATCGGTTGAAACTGAAGACAATCTGGAACCTGGTAGTAGCAACATTGAAACCAGCTGGAAGATTTCTTTACCAACAGTTTAATACTTAAGGTAAGAATTCAATATATATTTTAAGTTTCGTCAGTTTAAAGAAAAATGAAATTGCAACAAATTCATTCACGTATTACTGTCTCCGCGTAATTACCAATGTAATGTTCAATCAAATAAAAGAAATTGGTGAAAATTCCTGTTCGTATTGATACAAGCATCTGTAATAAATGTAGGCCCCGTACGCGTCCACACGAAACTGTAGGAATTTCGGCAAGACGGAGGTTTCACTATGAAAGCGCATAAAATGTTTTCTGTCTACATGGAGTAATTTGTAAAAGCGACAATCACTCGTCATTTTGGATTATTTTGTGTTTAAGGAAAACTCAGACAGGGAAGTAACATGGTTACTTTGACTGCATCATTTTTGAAAAGCTCCGTTTTCAACTACAACAAATGAAATTTTTTCCGTCCACACGAAAACGAAAAGCCGGCGTTTTCAAATTCCCCCAGTTTGAAGGGTGTTTTCGAAAAGCTCCGCCGGTTTTCGTGACGGATTAGTGAAGGCGATAGCCCTTGCTATAGAAATGAAACTACGTTTTCAAATTTCTCCGGCGATGTGCGGACCCTGCCTACCTTATACTCCCACGTGAAAAAAAGGGGCGGGATAAAAACCCTCCGTTTTGCGTTTAACGGATAGCTATTGCTCTACGCTAACATATAACGTCGCACGATGTTATTCCATGGCCAGGATCTTGGATTTGCAATCTTGGATTGCGCAATTTTCTCACGAAGTCCTAAAATAACATAAGTTGATAGAAAAATTAACTAACAAAGTACTGTTCAATGCTTATCAAGAAAAGTAAATAATTTAGTACACAGGCGTAAATTGTTTTTGCTGTGCATGTCAAAATGTGGCTGCTATGGTAGTGTCAAATGACTCAGAGCAACAGCTGACAGATCAAAGTTTTGAACAGGGATTAATAAACAGTGATTGTTAGCATCCTAGAGGAAATATATACTGAAATACTCTCCGGGTGAAGTGGGGTGGCCTCCAGGCATCCACCCTACCCCTCTCCTGTTGTACGCCCGATGGTCAATAATGTAATGCTAATGAAAATTCACTTTCCGTTTTTGAAGATAAAATCTGTACCATAATTAGTATTTAAGCTCCTCGCGAAATTCAGCTTGCTCTGGTTGGATTCTATTGCTTGCTCAGGGTGGTTTTATATTGAAAGGAGAGTCGTCAGTTTTGCCTTTGTTGTTGTTGTTGTTGTAGTTGTTGTTATTGTTGTTGTTGATAAGACAACCAGCTAACTCAGCTAGTGCGAGCATAGTTAACAGATGGAATGGTTATGAAACCCGACAAAGTTCTTTGTTGTCTTTGTTTTTGTTCACTTTTTTGGCCTTGACCGTGCGCAAAACACAATAGTTGTTTACTCCGTACTGAGGAACTAACCGCACAGCAAAAAGATTGTCCAAGGTCGTGGACCTTCCAACGTAAACCTTGAAATCTTTGTGTGCTCGTTTGATGTTTGCCGGGCTTCATAACCAGTCCCCTCTATTAATCGTCAGCTAGTTCTCTTTTTCATCTCTCCACTAAATTAGTTCTCCTCACAGTGACTGCTTCAGATACAAGTTGCGAGAGCCAAAATGTAAGAGACAGCTGGCATTTCCGTCTGCACTTTGTAAAGGTATGTTTTCCACATGATTGTGCTGTGAGACATTTTACATTTTAAAACCTTTATGTTGCTCCACACATGCTTACTCGAAAACTGAACAAACTTTTAAACGAAATAAAACTTACAGTTCAGACGATCTTACTCTTCAACTAATACGTTTTACAACACTATCATGTTTTCGATTTCACACGGCCCAAAATGCAAAGGCTATTTGAAATACTCGGTAAATAATTTTGCAATGTAAGAGGCAGTTCTCTGTACCTTATAAATGTTGCTTTTCTCACGTAAGTTTAGATCTTTAGAGATTCTACAATATTCTCGTTTAACATGATTATATACAGACTAATTGTTGTGCTATGAAAACAGGGCCAGCTGCTAAAAAAACGAATTAGGCTGAACCGCTGGAATAGATTTCATTGCTGAAGTATTTCAGTAGATTTGCCTGTTTTAGGCCAAGAGTTGAATAAAATACAATTCACAGCTTAAAAACTACCTCATTTCTTCTTTATTACGACTTACATATTTTTTTTTCTCTTCAGAAGGCCAACATGGAAGACTCGCAGATGTTATCCAATCAGTCTGCTCTCTTCAACAGCACAGAGATGAAAAGAAGAGTTTACCTGTTCACACCAGCAGGTTTCACCACTAAACTCGTTCTTTTCTCACTTTTGGCAACTATTGGTATTGTAGGACTTCTTGGCAATATGCTAATTTACTACTTTATCTCGACAAAGAAAAAGACCAAGTCATTTATGCAAACCGCTCCATTTGTACGAAACTTTAACTTTTACATTAAGAACTTAGCTCTTTCAGACATACTGAGTAATATAATTTCAGTTCCTTTGATTTGTATTCAGATTATGTTTGATGTGTTCCAACATAGCTGGACATGTATAATTGTACGATCTCTCACCATACTTTTCCCTTCTATAACAATGAATAATTTAATGGTAATAAGCTTGGAGAGGTATTTGGCAACCCGTGCCGTTCCCCGCTCGTTCAGTGTCTCTACTGTTCGCAAACTAATCTTTACTGCATGGCTTATAGGCTCAATTTTCATTTTAGGGCCAACAGCAACGTTCAATGGGGTAAGATATGACCTGAACGACACACATTATACTGTAGTTTGCAAATATGACAACAGTTATTTTACCTCTAAAATAATAGTTCTATGTTATTCAATACTACAGCACGTTATACCTGGTGTTATTTTAAGTTACCTTAATATTGCCGTTGCGAAGACATTATGGACACGACAAAAAAGAAGAATAACTGTTCAGCACACCAACGCCATCAGGGCCAACTTGATAGCTGCTAAACTCCGTGGAACATATATTCTTATCGTTTTAACGTTTGCTTTCATCATCCCATATTCAGTATTACCATATTATGCAGCCTATATAGCTTTGGCTAAGCCTTCCATTGATTTTCAAACTGATTTCATGACAAGGTATCTTAGCGCTGCCCTACTTTATTCAAACAGCACTATTAACTTCATTATTTACTTGGTACAGATGAAGGATTTCCGCGCTTTCTTAAAGAAGCTGTTCTGTGGCAACGGTAATACTATGAATGCTAACCCACCCGGGGACGGGATTCAACTCCCGAACAATCGTTGACTTCGCTTTAAAGGAGCTCAGTCACGTACAAAATTACCTTTAAATTGAAGGAAACTTGAAAATAGTAGTTTACTAAGATAAAAAAAAACCAAATAGATAATAATAAATCATAAAAAAAAACAAGGATGGTAAAGGATGGAGAAGATTAACACGGATTACAAACGACGAACTTGAAAAATCGAGCTAAACTTTTCAAGCTGTGCAAACTGTGACGTAGCTCCTTTAGGTCCTCTCGGGAGCTTACATAAGAAAGTGAATGGGGTTTATTATTGTTGAAACTTTTGAGAGGGACACTGATAGTGTACCAGAATTTCCTTTTGTGGATTTCTAGGGGATTACAAAAACAGTAACTAAAATATTTAACAATACATTTTTAACCGTGATAGATCGGTTTTCACGGTAGTTGGTTTTGCATTACTTTCCGCTACACGATTGGCTTTAAAAAAGCTCGCGCCACTCTTTTATGCATCCAATCAGAAGTAAAACCAAAACCAATTGTGACTCGTTCGCACGCGGTTTCCCGCACTTCGCGTCAGCTACATGCAATAATTGCTTCGAGTTTTGATCGGTTCATTGGATTGTCTTCCCTTTTACTTAACTGGAGTGTTTAAATTTGTTTTGATTTTGTGACAATCACTTAAACCTGCTATAAAGGCATTGTTTAATTTTGGGATAAACGCGTCCCCTTTTTCTCTGAGCGAAATTAGCTTGATATTAATTCTTGTGACCCCAATTTTACCAAAACTAACCACAAATAATCTCTCTGTAAAGATATTACATTTCATATATTCAGTTGCGCAGTCGAGTAGACTAGAACATTCTTGAATCACACAACAGTAAATTAAAATATCCAAAAGTCTGGTACGAAAATTATTTTGGCTGGAGCTAGTTATTCGAAGACTAGTCATGTTACTTTGGCAAAAGCCAACATGATCATGAAATTGAACTGTTTTCAAACTCGAGAACAAGTCCTGCATTAGTTGAAACATTGAAAGAGTTTCCGTAATGGCTTGCTCGTACAAAAATAATAAAATATTTCAGTAGACAAGAAGCCCTATCAACCCTTGCAAGTTTTCATTCGGGTCCTTAACTTTCTCAAACTAGGCCGTTTCCAGTGTTTTGTTAGTCTGGCGAACTTTTGAAAGAAGTGAAGTGAAGTGAAAGACTTTATTTAATGAGGGTGACCCGTGACAGTAACTTAAGTTGTCACATAAAAGTTAACACGTTAGCTTTTCAGCAAATTTATTTGTCACATAACAATTGGCCAATTTTACTCATCTACACAAGGAAATAAGAATTGTCACATGAAAATTATCGCGTAAAAATTCCTCGTGTAGACGACTCGTCACATAAAATGTGGCAAATATGTTCGTAAGCACCAAGATTTTCTGAGGCCATTAAGCAGCCCCGCCTTGTTTCTGCGTATCTCTGCTGTCCAAAGTCATTACTGGAGCACTAAACTTTGAGCTGCTAACAAATATTTGCAGTGCCATCTCTGACTCGATCAGATATATTTGTCATATAAAAGTTGACACATAAAAATTGCTCGTGTAGACGAGAATTAAATTGAGCGAGACCATGTTTGTAAACTTAGAAACGTCTACATGGCTTGTCTCTCAACAACAAAAACAACAATTTGTCTAAAACTAAAAGCAAATTTGCAAGCAATTCCTTTCAATTTTGGCAAAGTAACTAATCAATTTTATGGGTTTTTGCTTAAAGATATCTCAATCTGATTCTTGACATTAATAAAATATGATTTTAAGCACAAGGTGTAGACAACGGCATTATCGGAGATCTGTGTTAGTTTTCAGTTTCGATGAGGAACTTGGTGCTGAAATAGCAAGTTAAAATCATTTACCGAATTTTACCAACGAATAGTTTTTTCGGCAAATAACGAAAAAAGTTGCCTCGCCCTCCTGTCCCTTTTTTCCTTCTGATCTGAGTGCCAGACTGCATGTGGCATTTGTTTATACACCGTGCGCAGGGAAGTTCATTTTGGAATAGATTCCAGGAGTGGTACTCAATCTCTGGTAACACGAAACTGCCGTTGTCAGAATTAAAGGTTATGATCCGAATTATTCGTTGTTTAGCCCTCAACCAAACAAATATATCAGAGATTCGAACAAGTTGTGTACTTGTAAATAACAAAAAGAGCATTGTAAGTAGATCACCTGTAATTTAATTAGACTAGTGTAATTGAAATATATGTATTGTAAGTAGTGCAAGTATAAGTAGTTTAAGTGTCGTGTAAGTAGTGAGTATACCATAAGTATATATAGCTTATATGAGTAAGTATAATATAAGTAATGGTAATAGGACTGAGTGGAGTCCAATTCGGTCTGTAAATATACGAGTGATAACAAAATCGGATAACCGCGCAGCGGGAGTCTGATTAGTTTATCACGAGTTATTGACCGAATTGGGCGACAAGAAATATTATTACCAATTAATCATAAAAATTACAATTTCCGAGAAAAGAAGAGCCAAGTTATGAAAGAAAGGGAAAGTTTGCATTAAAAGACAGACAAAGGAGGCGTAAATTGTTTAATGATGCTCTGAAATTAAACTACAACTTTGAAAATGATTGGTTGATTTAACCTACAACTTTGAATGCGATTGGCTTATTCAACTGTCCGATAGCAAACTGCCCGATGACAACTTGGCTAGTGAATTAGTGGAAAATAGGGGTTTTTTAAACCAATCACATTAGACGAAATTGTAATTTTTATGATTAGTGTTGTAAGTAGTGTAAGTAACAAAAAAAAATATTATAATTAAGGGTTCGAACAATTAATGCACAAACAATATTAAGAGCTTTGTAAGTAAAAATTGGTAAGTAATTTCGTGATTGATAATGGTACGTAATAGGACTGAGTGGAGTCCAATTCAGTCTGTAATACGAGTGTTTAACAAAATCGGACAACCGCGAAGCGGGAGTCCGATTTGTTAATCACGAGTATGATTACTGACTGAATTGGACGACGCGAAGCCCTGTTACCAATTAATCAAAACTATGACAAACTTCGAGAAACGAACAAACCGTCGATTGAGCGCTGAGCGATTAAACGTCGTTATGAATGCTGAAAGACACAGCAGTTTACTCAACAAAGTGCACCGCAACAGCGCGCGCAAAATGACACGTACTGTCGAATTACAAGCATGACGCGTACACTGTCCAATTAATGCTCAAATCAGGCTGCTGATGGCCAATCACGTTCGAGAATTTTGTTATAGTTTTGATTACTTTGGTAATCGTAAAAGTTACGAACATTTTAGTACCGTAATAATATATTTAAGAAACACTAAGGTACGAAAATGCATTTAACCTTACATAACTGTAGACTTTTGATGGTCATTGTACATTTGTAGAAGATAGAAAACAAATAAAGTGTTTTATGTGGAGTCAATCAATTGTACATGTCTTCTTAGGACAACTTGTGAGCGTGTTCATTAGGTACATTTTAGTCTGTCAGTGGTTCAGGATTAATTATTTGCAACGCTTGATTCAAATCCCATTCTCAAATTCAATAATAATTCATCAAGTTAAAACAAAGGAAACCTTGACCGTGACGGTGTTTGGATATCTGCCATATATTAGCATAGCGCGTTTTTTGTTTAGTTTTAGTTTCGATTGAGAAGACATATCAAACATGAAAAATAGGGTTTGATCGCATTTGAAAACACCAAGAATTTGGTCAAAATACTCCGCTACGCGTCGTGTTTTCAACTCTCTTCTCAGTCTTTGGAAATGTGGTCAAAGACGATCTTTCGTGTTTGATATATTACTTCAACATACACTTCAAACGATCGCCTAACGATAACCTAATCATAACGACCAGTAGTCATCGGCCAAACACCCTACCCGTAACCCTTCCTGATCCAAGAGGTTATCCCTTCAAGGTACTGCGCTTAATTAGCCACTGTGATTTCGCACCGTTGGTATAGCAACCTAACTGGAGAAGGTTGCTATTGCTTTGGTGTGATCCGTATGTTTTTGATTTTAAAAAATATGCGATTTTTTTCAACTAATGAACGCAGGGTTCGGCAGAGCGGCCGAACCAAATATCAACTCATACAGATTGAGAGCAAATGAGCAATCTAATCTAATCATGGTAGAATTCTAACTATAAAATTTGGAACACTCAAATAACGCCGATGTCTATTGTTCCTGTCAGTTTTGCTACTTTCCAGCTTTAGAAAAATCGCGGAGACTGAATTGTTATTTGAAACTTGCAACAGTAAGCCTGCCCTTGCCAGTTTTTGTTGTTGTTGTTGTAAATTATTTAAGAATTATTCGCTGAAGGCGGAGTGAACATTGGTGAATATTCACCGAGACGAAGTCGAGGTGAAAATTCACGGATGTTCACTGAGCCTGAGGCGAATAATTGTTTTAGCATAATTTTCAGAGGTGAATAGCAAGAACTACAAAATAACGGACTAAAACAAAAAACACAGACGCAATTGTTCGTTAACATACGGGTATGTAGCCGTAGGTTTGATAACAAGCTTACATGTACATCGGTTACGAATCAATTTACTCATCGATTTTTTTCAATAAAACAAGCGAAACACCACGAAAAATAGTATAAATATATTCATCCGGTACCTTTGTTTTATCGTTGTTAACTTCATTCACAGTCGCCGTCATCGTCTTAAAATAAGTAGCTTTAATTAGTTTGAAGAAAAATAAATTTCGGTCAATCGATCTGACCTGCTGGCGATCGTAACTACTGTGTTACGATTCTTAAATGCCTTAAATACGAGTTCTTGAAAAGATTTTTGGTCCAATGGCGACAGCAGTCATTTTGAAAATTCTCCATATTTCAAATATCCTGGACTTGGAGTGATGTCTTTCGGATAAATGAAGATTTCATTCACCAACTGTCTTTCCTGTTTACTTGCCGCGATGGCAAAGGTGTTGAGCTTAGTAATCAAGCTCAGAAATGTTATATTCACCTTCAAGAGCGGTGAACATAAGGTCGCCGTTATGTGGACGATCTCCAGTCATTCAACATTCATGGCAAAGTGTACTATCGTAAGCAAGGAATATTGCTAGCGAAACATTGCTATAAATTGCATGCGTCCGAACCAATTAATTTAAGGAACGAGATATAACACAAAGAACACAGGAAAAGCTCGAAACATTCTTAAAAATTTAGCCCTCACCGCTCATCACTAACCAGTTATTTTGTACAATCATCATTATATGGCTAGCTCCGTGAGCAGGCAAGGTGAACCGAATCCGCTGTGATTTGCTACCAGAGCGAGCCAGAGAGAGCTATCTCGCCCGCTCGGGATTACGCGCTGTGTCCCGCAAGAAAAATCTCCCCGAAGATCACCTTTTTTTGGTATTCTTTATCCCATATAATAAATCCTTTATTGACCAAGCTTGGTCCGTCAAAATCGCTGGAAATTGGTCTCGTTCTTTTCTTTGCGTGTTTATGGACCATAAACTCACAGGAAAAAAAAAAGAAAAAAAAAAAAAAAAAAAAAAGAACTTGGCCAATATCCAGCCATCCTGACCTCGTACTTGGTCAATAACCCATATATAACTAGTTTTTTTTATCATAAATTGCGGGGTTAACGATTAGCATTTTTGCGTTTATTTCTAGCGGAGAGCGAGGTTAAACTTTTTGTAAGTTTTATGAAGAAAGAAAGAAAAAAATTAACAAAGGGAGAGAAGGAAAGAAAAACGAAGTTGGCAATTATAAAATTCGCTCGTTCTCATACACGATGATATATGGAAAACGTTTTCAGGTGCAGAAGTATATGCTGGGTTATTAGCAAAAAAAAAAAAAACAGGCTTAGTAAAGTTGATTATCCAAACAGACACCAAGATAACAAAACTATCTCACTTAAATTTTAATTGAAACTGTCAGTTTTCCTGCAATTAGGAAATTTGCATATAAAAACTAAAGATTATGGCCAGCTTACTGTGGCCACATCTGACGGTCAAGTATAAACCATGTTGTAAAATCCTGTAAATTGTGAATCATAGAGCACTGTGCACAATTTTAAGCCGAATTTCACCGAAACAGGTAAGAAGCTATCGGTTTGTACTTGTAAGGAAATAAAGGCGACACGTCTGTCCTTGTCTTTCCTGGCAAAAGGCAATCATATCGATTGATCTAAATGGTTGCTATTTTTGTGTTAAAAGTCAGCTGCCATACAAGAACAATGCACTAATGAGAGTTTTCAAACCGAATTTTACATGTCATATAACAATATCTACATACGGTTTTAATTTCGCTACTTGGCAAGTTGTTAACCCATCAATAATTTATGATCAAGCTGTGAAAACGTTAGCCTTTTATCGCTAACAGAAGAGGTTTCTTATCAATTTGAAACTTCCGTAAAACAATCATTTTCTTTAGTCAGTTAGAAGTTTGTGACTCTGTCATGATACCAGCAAACGTAACTGATCCAAAGTACGATTTTTATTTGATGATAATCGATGACAAGGCATACTGGCTGAGTTTAGCTGTGGTGGGATTCATTTTAGCAACAGTTATTATCGTAGGAAACTCCATTCTACTCTTCACGACTTACAAGGATCCTCGTAGATCACTGCGTACACCGCCATCTTTCCTGATTACGAATCTGAGCGCATCAGATTTACTGCTGGGACTATTCAATGTTTTTCTTGTGGCTTTGAGAGATGTCTATCGATCACGACTTGAACATATGCCTTATGTTTTCGTGTTTAAGACAATCATGTACACCGTGCTATCTACAACCCTATCTGTGAGCAGCTATTCCATAATAGCCATGTCATTAACTTGTTACGTCGCCATCAACAAGCCCATGGATTACAAATCCATCGTCACCAAGAGAAGAATCAAGATTTTTATTGCAGTGTTGTGGATGGTATCTTTAGCGACGTGTGTTCTCCCTATAACGAATATATCCGAGAAGACATACACGCTAATTTATCTCCACACTCACGCTTCGCTACCTGTCATCTTGTTGACAGTTATCTACGCAAATGTGTTCCGTGCTCTCGCGAGACGAACTCGAGAGCTTCAGCTAGGAGGGTGTGACTCGATTTCAAGTATTTCGTTGCGAAAAAATCGAAATATGGCTGTTACAATTATCATTATTCTTTCGCTGTTCTATTTCTCTTATATACCTCAATACATCACTCTACATCTACTGTACTTTTGCAAACCCTGCCAACATTCATTAACTTTCCACAAGATTGACGTTGCATTGTCCCGGTTTTTGTTCATAAATTCAGCGGTGAATCCATTTGTCTACGCCTGGAGATTGCCAAAGTATCGAAAAAGGTTTAATGACTGTTGGCAGTTCATCCGAGGCAAGTTGAGAATTCCTTGCAAGGGACTTTTGAACCCAAGGACACAGTCGAGCCAAACGAAAAGTGCTTGGGTGTGTCAAAGAAGATTATGGCGAAATAGACGAGTTGATATTTCATGTACTTGCGATATTTCCAGTATTGAACTGAAAAAGATTAAAGTGACAATCGTGTAGGAAACTAAACATTTTTAAAGCCTTATTGCACTCATGTTTGCAGAATGAATATCATTAGTGGTAAATACCGTGAATATAGACCTAGGCAGCGTCCACACTAAGCCAGAAAAATTTTAAATACAGTTTTATTTCTACGGCTAGGCCTACCGTCCACACTAATCCGTCACGAAAACGGAGCTTTTGGAAGACGCTCTTCAGACCGAAGGAATTTGGAAACGCCAGCTTTGTGTTTTAGTGTTGGGGTGAAGACATTTTGAAAACGCAGCTTTATTTCTACGGTTAGGTCTACCGTCCACACTAATCCGTCACGAAAACGGAGCTTTTGGAAGACGCTCTTCAGACCGAAGGAATTTGGAAACGTCGGCTTTTCAATTTCAAGTGGACGGAAAACATTTGAAAACGGAGCTTTTCGAAAACGATGACATCACGATAATCACGTGATTTCCCTGTCCAAGTTTTCCTCAAAACACAAATCCAAAATGACCGGTGATTGTTGCATTTTTAAATTCCTACGACGCAGTGTGGACGGAAAATATTTGATACGTTTTAAGAGTGAAACCTCTGTTTTAAAATTCCTCCGGCGTAGTGTGGATGGGGCCCAAGATAGATCAAGTTTCGACACAGATAAAACGATCGTTTGACACATATTTTATGCACGTTCTCGATGTATCACGTAGTTACCGGTTGGTGATGACTCACAGAACCATAATTTACGGCAGACAAAAAAACACGATTCTCAATGCATTGACAATTAGTTATGGTAAATCAAGGCCAGCGGTTATTAAGGACATATCATGTTTCATATAGTTGTTCTAAAAATAATATTTATTATTTAATATTTATTATTTCCCATCCAAAAGAATAAAACACATATACCCAAAACATATATACGCTTTGCCACTCTCTTTTTCGATAGTCCATGTTATGTCATGTTGTTGGAGCTTGTCATTTCAAATAGTAGATTTCTGCCTGACAACCAAATCGAGAAGTCACCGCCAAAGATCTTCTCTAATCTCACCACGATAAGACGCTGTAAGTAAAAGCATTATGTAGGATACTCATATATTTCTAAAGGGACTTAAGGCAATCTTCCCCTCTCCTCCCCCCCCCCCCCCCCCCCCCCCCCCCCCCCCCCCCCCCCC